AAACCACAACCACAACAAGGACAAATAACAAAAAAAAACAGCACCCGGCAGCGACTGCATTCGGCTGCAGGGGGAACCGAGTGACACCCCGGTGGTGGCGGTTGAGGGAGCGAAGGGAGAGGAGGGATGTGGAAAAGAGCAGCGACGACACCTGCGAAGCATGCGCCTTAAAACTCCTAGCCACCGTGGAAGTGTTGGCTGGCGCTTGCGTTGACATCTCATTGCCTGTGGCAGCGGCGGCAGTAATGCCCGCCTGCCTCCTGCGGGTGGCAGGCGCAAGTTACTTATGTGAACTAAGTCTTTGCCGCATGCCTGCGACGGAAGCCGGACGTCTATTCCGCAGGGGGAAAGAGGGAAGAAGAGGGAAAGACGGCGAAAACGCCCAGAGAGATGCGTCAAAGGCGTCTCCAGTGAAAACTGATGCAGCTACACACTACCATGCGGTCACGCCCACCCCTATTCCACCCTTCTGGGCATATATATGTATGTATATATATGTGTGTACATTATTTGACATCTAAATGAGCGTACAGCAAAACAAACAAACAAACAAGATAAACACGCTCTGTACATGATCCACCGCCCAGCCACCGCCACCTCGCACCCGAGGCATCACCAGCAATGAGCGGCGGCAAGGTGGGGGTTAGGGGAAGGAAACACAAAAAGGCAAAGTGCAATACGCGGGGTAATGAGGAAAGACATCGCCGCCTTGTCGTGCAACACGCCCGCCCCTCAGTCGATTGCGGCTGCATTGAAGGCGCAGAGCAACAGCAGGCGCGCGACCGCAGAGAACCAGAGCAAAAAATTAGTCCAATCACGCCTACCCACAGAGCGAGAGAGAGAGAGAGAGAAGACATTCTTTGTCCCCTCTATCTCTTTCCTTGCCTCAATTTGACGGATATATTCCCTCCCTCTCCGAGTGCATGCTGCCTCTTCTTTCCTTCCTTTCCTCTCTTTGTACAAAAGCTTCCCTCTCCCTCATGCGTGCAGAGAGGGCGGCCGCTTAATGACCTCCCGCGCGTGACGCAGCAGCTCCCCCTTGGCGTCTTTGGAGCTCAGGAACGATAGCGCACTCCGGTACGCCACGGCTGTGGTGGCGAAGGGGCGCAGCTCCATGGCCGCGGCGGCTATCGCGGTGGCCCAAAACCGCTCGTGGCTCCGCAAGTACTCCATGCCGGCGGTGAGGTCCTCGCTGACGCCGAAGCCCGCCAGCGAGAACTCGCGCTCCAGCCGGTCGAGCGACACCCCAACGCTGATGCCAAGGAGGGAGTTCAGCGGGAAGGAGCCATCGATGGCCTGTAGCGCGGTGAGCCGCTCGAGACTCGGCCCGGCGATGACGGCCTCCGCCACCCCAGCGACGATGGCGCGAATAAAGTCTCTAGACGTAGGCGGCGGCGCAAGTGCGGCACTCGCACCGGACGCCTGCGACACCCCCAGCTGCTGCTGCTGCTGCGCGGCCCTCCGCAGCGGCGTCGGGCGGCCGTCGATCAGGCCGTCCGCGAGTCGCTGGCGCCGGTACTGCCGCATTTTCCGCGCGTAGGTCCAGCTGCGTGGCACGTACCGCACAGCTACAGCGCTGCGAGGTGACTGCGCCTGTGCGGCGGCTGCGGCGGAGGCGGCGGGCCGCAGCTGCACCATCTCCGTGTACGGCGACGGCAGCAGAAACGTCGCGGAGAGCCGGGCGACCTCCTCCATCTCCGCCTGCGTCAGCGCCGAGAGCTCGCGGGCGTCGACGAGGTGGCGCTCTCGCGCGGCGGCGGCGGCGAGGTGGAAGAGGCCGATGGAGAGGGCGTTGCGCGGCTCCGCCTCGGAGGTGAAGATGAGGTCCTGCACGTTGCCCTTCCCCACGTACTCTACGACGGTGGCGCCGACGCGGCCGGTCGCGCAGACGCCCAGCGTCTCGAGGGAGGCGGGGGCGAGGCCGTGCACGAAGCGTTGCGTCCCCTGCGCCACCGCGGGCAGCGTCTTGCCGGCCGACAGCCGCACCTCGGGCTCTTCGAAGCGCATGGCGATGTCCGTGAGGGTCGGGACGGCCAAGTGGGACAAAATCTCCACGAGCGCCTCCGGAAGCTCCGCTGCGTCGGCGGCGTCGCGGTAGAGGCCCCCGCCCTCCTCCGCAAGCAGCCGCAGCGGCGGCGCGTCCAGCGTCCCCGCGGAGAGAAGACCCACGGCGCTGAAGCACATGTTGCGCCGGTGGCGCGTCGCCGCCTCGATGATCTCCGTCGCGTACTGCGAGTCGCCCTCGTCGGAGAGGACAATCACGTGGCGCACGTACCCCACCGGGACGGGGCCGCAGAGCGAAAGGGGCTCCTGCGCCATCACCTCACGGAGGGTGCGGTGCAGGTGGGAGGCGCCCGTCTTGGCCTCCTGCGGCTTCGCCCCCGCGACGAAGGCGGCGAGTTGGTCAAACTGCACCTCCCGCAGCGGCACGGCACCGCGCTGCCAGGGGCAAACGTCCCTTGCGGCGCCCACCACCACCAGGTTGAGAAACACCGAGTCGGGCAACCCGCGCAGACCGACCAAAAGACCGTGCGCCATCGCCTCACAGGAGGGGTGGCTGTGTGCATCCACGACCAGCACCAACTCGGCGTTTGTGACGCACCCCTGCCGCCCCTCAAGCTGCGGCGTGAAGAGCAGGGTGAGGGCATAGCGGTCCACGTCCTGCACGCGGGCACCGACGTCCTTGGCGAGAAAGAAGCGCAGCGGCTCCGCGGTGCCCTGCACGGCGTACTCCACCTCAAACCCGTCCCGCATCCGGGTTGTAAGCGGGGCGGCGTAGTTCAGGGTGAAGCCGCTGTCGCCGATGTACTCCACCTGCGCCTGCGGCTCCTTTTCCACCGGCCGCACCCGCACGGCGCCGGCCAGCGGCACAAACATGTCACACTTGGCGTGAATGCTCCAACCGCGCGGGAGCTTCGCCGGCACCCGCATGTCGAACAGCGCGGCGTACTCGAGCGTGGTCGGCGGCGGCGCCTTGGTCTCGGGGAACAGCTCGGCCGGGAGGTGGATGCGCACCACGCCGTGCCACCGCGTCGCGTCGAGCGGCACGTGGTACGTCGCGGCGACGAGGACGGTCGAGCCGATCCCGACGACCCACGGCAGCTGCTGCGAGGCAACCGTCCAGACGGTGTGGTCGGACTTCGGCCCTGGCAGCCCCGCGGCGCCGGCCTCGGCGGAGGAGCGCAGCGGCACCGTCCCGGCGTACTCCGTCAGCACGGAGTCGCCAAAGTAGTCGGCGCGGCAGCTCATGAGGTCCCACGCAACGGGCAGCGGGTAGGCGGCGATCACGCGCTGGTCCTTGCCGGTATGGTTGTCGTACTCGTAGCGCACGTTCACCCGCGCGCAGTTCCCCCGCACCTCCGCCTCCACGGAGCAGCCGCGGAGCGTCAGCGGCGCGAAGGTGGTGGCCACGAGGACGCCAATGTCCTTGTTCGGGGACGTGCTGTACGCGAAGTGCTGAATCGTCATTGCGAGCGCGCCGCAAAACCCTCTTTTTCTCCTCTCGCCCTCGCCTTTTTGTGCGCCGCACCTAAAACGCACACTCGCAGCTGTATATATATATAAATGTATGCGTATATACGTCCACACACACACACACACACAGGTGTGGGTCTGACCGCGGTACAAGCCCTTTTAAGCCTACTTTGCTTCCTGCTGTGTGTCTTATGCGGGGGAACTCCGTAGGACCCCGGCGCCGCAGCAGCACGCAAAGCACTCCCTTTATGCTGCCACCCACCGTGCCGCACGCAACACGGAATGACAGTGAAAACGCACACACACAGACACAGACAGACAAACAGAATAAGAGAGAGAAAACAGCAGCAACGACAGCAGTGGGAGGACGCGCGTGGGGGATGGAAGACAATGCAGGCACGGGTGCACCCCTACACGCCGGCAGCGGCTGCAGCGAGGAAGAGAGAGAGAGAGAGAAACGGAGAGACAAAGAGAGAGGCCGAAGAAAACGCGCACAATAAAAAGGAAGAAACATACAGACGCCGTTGCGGCACTTTAAGCGCGGCGCCATGGCCAGGCCGCCCGCCAGCCTGCACACACACACACAGGGGAGAGGGAGTTGCAGCGGGCCCGCTGACAGGTGACGGTGGCGCACACAGAATACAAAATATTCTCTTCTTCCTCACCGTCCAGGGGTTATGCGCTCACCCCTCTTCCGCCTCTCGCACGCTCTCCCCCCTGCACCCCCCTTGTCGTTGGGCCCCACCTCGCCGCCCCCTCCACTCTCTCCAGTGCGTTTCTTTTTCTCTCATTTGCCCTCGCACGGCCCCTGTGGGCCGTTGTCCTGCGCCTTTTTCCGCCTCAAACGCCCTACATTAGCCGTTTTTTTACTTTATTTTTTTTTTGTTCTTGTTCTTTTTCTTTTTCTTTTTAGCGGCCCGTTCCATTGTGTATGCGCGCGTGCGTGCCTGCCCGCCTCCCGCGCGCGCCGTTTCTGCCTCTCGCTCCCCAAGTCCGCTTACGTGTTGCTTCCTTGTTTTCCCGGTGCGTGGCGCCCGCCGCAGCGGGCTCTTGTGCGGCGTTCCTGCCTACTTGTGCTGGGCCATGATGCGGCGGCGGCTCTCCTCGTTCTTTTGCGCGACAAGCCACAGCAGCGCCGCCGTCATCGTGGGCGCCATGATGAAGCTGGCGCGCGGGTCCGAGTGGCGGAAGATGTAGCCGTGCAGCAGCGTGCAGACGACGGAGAAGACGCTGTTGACGAAGAAGAGCGTGTAGCCCACCGCCACCTGCAGCCGCAGCTTATGCAGCAGCTTCTCGTCGCACTCCCGCACCTCGTTGTAGTGGCGCTGGCGCCGCCAGAACTCGCTCTCCACCATCGTCACGTACGCCTGCGTCAGCATGTAGGCGGTGAAGAGCACCACGGCGACGTAGAGCAGCAGGTTCGCGGGCACGAGCCAGTCCAGCCCGTTCACCGCGTGCGAGAAGTACACCGGCTGGAACGCCGCCATGAAGGCGACCGCCACTAAGGACCGCTTTGAGTACACCAGCGTGTTGGCGTTGATGCGCGCGTCCAGGAGCTTCTCGTCCTGCTTTGTGAGCCGCACCCCGCCCCCGCTGCGACCGACCCCCTTCTTCTCCTGCATCGCCTCGAGTTAATGACCTGCAGCGACCCCCGCTCCTTTTTTTTTTGCCTTCGCCTGCGCTTGTGGGCCCTACGCCTTCTCTCTGTGTTTTTTCTTTTTTCTTTTTTTGCTCTTTCCCTCTTCGTTCCTCCTCCTCCTCACCTGTCGCTTCGCACGCCCCTGCTGTCGCTCGCTTGCGTGGGGCGTGAGGGCCGCGGGACAACCGCCAGCACGAGCAGGGCGAGAAACAACAGCCACAACAAGCAGAGAGAAAACAAGAAAGGCAGCAGCGAAAGGGAAACTACAGCAAATAAAAAAAACAAGACAAAACAAAAGGCGCAGGCGCCTCTCAGACGCACGCCACACACGCCGCAGCCGGTTCCCCGGGGGGCCTCCTCGCGCCTCGCGGCGGGGCGCCAACGGCAATACGACCCCCCCCCCCTGCGGCCACACGTCTTGCAACACCGGCAACAGACGCAAAAACACCCGGGTGATACAAACAAGCAAAAAAAAAAAGACCACATTCCGCGTTTTTTTTTCCCCCACTTCTTTTTGTTCTCTTTTCATTGCTGCCTTTGGCGCCTCACAACTTATCCAGGGCCTGCCGGTACCGCGCCGCCTCCTCGGCGGCGGCGGCGTGGTCGGTCGGCAGCGTGTTCCAGCGCACCCCGAGCCCCTCCGCCTCCGTCCGCTTCGGGATGACGTGGAAGTGCACGTGCGGCACCTCCTGGTGGGCGAGCCTGCCGTTGTTCTGCAGGACGTTGTACTGCGTCATCGTCTCCCCCTCCGCGGCGACGACGCGGGCAATTTTCGTCAGCAGCACCCCCACCTCCGCCGCCGCCTCCGGCTCCACCTGGTGCAGGAACTCCGCGTGGGCCCTGGGAACCACCAGCACGTGGCCGCGAGAGAGGGGGTTGACGTCGATGAAGGCCAACACCCTGGCGGTCTCCGCCACCTTGTGGCACGGGATCGCCCCCTCCACGATCTTGCAGAAGATGCAGCTCGACATGTGTGTTTGCTGTCGGACGGGTTTCTTTGCCTTCCTCCTTCGCTCCTTCTCTTTTGCTTCCGTTTCTCTTGTGGTTTGTGCCTGCGAACACTTCCCTTCGTGGCTGCAGCCGCAGAGAGAGAGAAGACATTTCAAAAAGAAAAGCAACAAAAAAGGCAACTCCCCAACGCCACCCACGCGGCGCCATGGGCAGAGTAAAAGAAAAACAAAACGAAGCAAAAACAAAGACAAAATAAAATGCAACTTTTTTTCTGCATATAACTCTGCCGCTGCGTCGCCGGCAATAATAGGCGGCAGGCAACATACTCAGGGAGTGCGGGGGTTTGTTGGTGTGGGCCGTTGGTGTCAGAGCGCGAGAGGCCGCTTAAAGCGATGCCCGTGGGCGCCTCTCCCGCCGCGACCCACCGCCGCTGGTGCCGCTGGTGCAGGGGCGGTGGAGGGTTCGGCCGCCTTTTCACCCCGGGCGGCCAGTCGGCCTCGCAGCGGCGGCCCCGGCTTAACTGCGCCACCGCGCGGCTGGCGAACATCCGCCACGCTGCGCTCCGCCACGCTCGTACTGCCCCCCAGCTCCGTCGAGGTTCTGACGCGCCTCACCTCCTGCTCCGCCGCGCGCTGCAGAACCGACGCGTGCTCCACCGCCCGCGGCGTCGGCGTGGCGTCGCTCTCCACCTCCTCTTTTATCGTCACCTGCCGCCGCTGCTTTCGCATGGCCCGCCGGGGGCGTGTCGGGACCTCCGCCGCGGCCCCCCCGCTTGCCGCCTCACCCGCTGCATCTGCTGCTGCCGCCGGTGCCGGTGCCGCTTCGCTCTCTGGCCTCACCACCAGCTTCACGCGCCGCTTCTCCGCCTGCGACCGCGCGGTGTGCGCCACGCGGTAGCTTTCCCTGCGCCTCGCCAGCCGCTCCGCCACGCTCCCGGTGACGCTGCCGACAAGGGGCTTGAACGCCGCCGTGACGGTGGCGTCGTCGACGTGCGTCACGATGGCCTGCACAACGGACCGCAGGCGTCGCATGGCGCCGTGCAGCATCGCCCCGCAGCGTGCCTCGCGCTGCCGCGGCGTCATGGAATCGCCCGCCCCGCCCACACCGCCGCCGGAAGGAAGTTGCGCCTGGCGCGACGCGAGGGCCTCGCAGACGGCGGTGCCTTGACGCTGCAGCGCCGCCACGGTGCCGCGCAGCAACTCACGCGCCACGTTGAGCTCTGGTATCACGGCGTCCACGCCGGACTTACTTGCAACGCTCTCCGCGAGCGTGTCGGCGACGCCGAGGATGGTGCGCGCCTCCGCCTCGATCAGCAGCAAGCCGTGAGTGAGAAAGTTGACGCTGCAGTCGAGTGACACCTCAAAGGCGTTCCCATCGCTGCTCAGCGCCGTCACGAAGGTCAGGGCAAAGTGTGCCACAAGCCGCTGCGTCACCGCCGCGGCGAGCAGCGGCTGCCGCAGGTACTCCAGCTCCTCGTGGGCCCGCACAATGAGGAGAAGGCTGTCGGCGACGTAGGGCCGCACGGCACCGGCGGTGTGGGCAGACACACGCTGCCAGTCCATCATAGGCATCATGAAGCCCGGGGACCGCACCTCCCGCGTGATGCGCTGCTGCGGTGTGACAAGCAGCATGCTGAGCATGGCATCCACCGCCAGCTGGCACTGGTCCTCCAGCTGTGAGATGTGGTCGACCCGGAAGTGCTCCTCCTTGCGGCCTACCAGCGCTTCTACCTCTTGCGTCGTCTTCGCCTCCGGCCGGAGCGCGGCCACCACCTGCAAGATGCACGGCGACACAAGCTCCCCAAGCACAATGGGCACGACCGCCGTCGGAAGGCACAATACATCCGCAAGGCCATCGATGTGCACCACCTCCCGTGTCTCGAGGGCGGTGCTCACGCTAAGTGACGCCCGCTGGCAGCCCTGGTGCAGGGCGTCAACGAAGGCCAGCATGATGTTCGTCACCAGCGCCAGCAGCATCTCCTCCTGCTCCTCCACGTGCTCAAGCACCATTTTGCTGTTGCGCTGCGCCATGAAGGCGGTGACGGTGTCCAGCTGCGTGGACGACTCCAGGTCTTCCTTCGGGCTCCGCCGCAGCACACGCGCGTGCTGGCCCTGCTGCCGCTGTCGCTGGTTGGCGTCCTCCGGCCTCTCGCGTTCCGCCTTGGCGGCGAAGAGGTCAATGCCGTCGTACACTTCATCAAAGCGCTGCAGGAAGGGGGCGGTGCGGTCTACCACGACGGAGAGCAGGTTCAGCAACTTGTTCACCAGCACTGAGGAGACGAACTCGCGGCTCACGCGGGCGGCGACGGTTTTATTGACATTCATCGCCGGCGTCGTCGGCCGCAGCGAGGGGAGCAGCGCCACGTAGGCCTTGGCCAGCATGCCGACGCCGTGCGCGTAGCAGCGAAAGAGGCTGGAGCGCAGCTGCTCCAGGTCCTCCAGCAACTCCCCCACCTCCTGCGCCTGCGCCTCACTCACCACAGAGGCGGAGGTGCAACTCTCCCCAATCACAATTTTCATGCGCCGCACGGAGTCGCTCACGTGCGTCATGGCCTTATCCCACTGCGCGAGAATGACCTCCACGAGCACCGCGGCGTGAAGCTCCACCTGCTCCTCCTCCTCGTCCCGGCTCTTGTGCGCGACGTCGGAGACGCGATACGCCGCCATGGTGCGCACGAAGCTCCGCAGCAGGGTGCGGTTGATGCTGCTGAGGAAGAGGGCGTATAAAATTTCCCCGGCGGCCTTCACGCCCCGTCGCACCAGCTCCACCGACAGCTGCCGCAGCGTCGGAGATCCCTCCCGCACGACCGGAATGTACGCCAGGCGCGGCAGCTCGTCCGTGTGTTTGCCTCTGTTCACTGCGACGCCGGCTTGCCGCACCGCAGCTGCCGCCTCCCCCCCGCCGCCTCCACCCCCGTCAGCGTCATCCTCGTCAGAGGCGCCTAACACCGCCGGTCCATGCATCATGCGGTACAACGCGCTGTTGGGGTCCAGCGAGAAGTCAAACATGCCGGCGTGCACGGCGGCCGCGATACCGCCCCAGTAGGAGACCAACACAAGCTCCAGGTGATCCACGCAGGCCGCAAGGAGGCGGCCAGAGAAGGTGTCGGTGGCGGCAGCGGAGGCGGAGACGTCTATCGTGGCATCCGCGCGACTCGTGAGCTGCCGCAGCAGCCTCGCGCTGCACATCACAAGCTGCCTGGCGGAGCACTCCAGCACCCCACTCATCTCCACCTCGCCGATGCTGAACGTCGTGAAGCGCGAGAAGTCAGCCTCGGGGGTGCGAAACGCCTCGAGAATCGCCTCCGCATGCTGCTGCTCATTGGACTCTGCCACGTCGACGCCGAAGCCACCGACTTTGATGCGATCACTTGTGGTGCCCACAGCCAGCGCAATAGACTCCAGTGGCTGAAACCCAGTCGTGTTGCAAAGCACAAAAGAGTCATCGGCGTTGTCAAGCAGTCCCCCGGTCGCCGCAAGGGAGCCCAACCACGCGAGCCGTGATGCATTGCCGATGTCGCGCACCGAGGCATTTTCCGTCAGTGTCTCGCCTGGCATGAACTTCATCTGCCACTCGCTTGCCTCGCGGCTAATGTTAAAGGCGGTGTTTTCCATCATGCGTACATGCTGGTTCCGGGTGATGCGGACGTAGTACTCCACCGGGTGCTCCAACGGCCTCGCGGGGCCGGATGGCTGCTGCTGTGGTTCCTTGCCCTGCAGCTGGCTGCCGAGCTCGCTCGAGGCACTCGAGGGCAGCGGCTTTGCTGTGGCAACGCTGGAGTTCGTCTCGGTTCCGGCGAATGAGTCAAGCAGCGGCGTCAAGATGGGCGACTCGAAAGCGTCGTCCTCGTCCTCTTCATGGGCGTTGTTGTTGTTGCTGCCATCCTCCTGCAGTTCTTGCCGCAGCTCCGACAAGGCGTCGGTGTGGGGGGTGTCGGGCTGCAGTTTTTTGTGCGCGGTCCAGCAGAAGTGGCGGAGCTTCACCGCCGCAATGGCGCCGTCCATCATAGACGAGAGGGTGTCCTCAATGAGGACTGTGTCAGCCGCACTGGCGCGCCGCAGCTCCTGCGCCATCGTCTCGCAAAGGAACAGGGCGGCACGGAGGAGGGACAAGGCGTACCGATACGTCAGCGTCAGGCCGCCGTGCTGCTGCGGCTGCGGCTTTTTCGGCGTCGTCAGTGAACTGCGGGCCGCCTCCGTTTCCGGCTCGGCGTCGTCGCCGGCCTCGACGCCGAGCACCGTCGCGTGCTCCAGGTCGTAGTTCTCCTCCAGGTACAGCATGGCGCGGCGCAGGCTCAGCACGGCGGCCTCGTAGTTGCTGCGCCCCCCCGCCGCGCCCTCGCCGCGGGGCTGTTGATGGCCGGACTGCCGACGTGCGAGGGGGGTGCCGTGCCAATGCAGCAGCTCCTCGCCGGGCCTCAGGACGTAGTCGCCGCCCGTGTCGGCGCTGTCGGTGGCCTCCTCCAGGGCCCCCCGCACACCCCGCGGCAACACGCCACTCATCTCCTCCGCTGCGTGTGGGCCGCCGCTGCCGCCGCTGCCGTCGGGGTTCCTCGCGGCCTCCGACTCCGCCTTCGCGCGCCGGTCGCGGTTGCCGTGACGCTGCGGCACACGCACGCCGCAGAACTCGTAGATGGCGCCGGGCACACTCCAGACCACCATGAGCTTCTCCAGCATTTCCCTAGTGAGCCGGCAGCTGCGCAGCTCCTCGAAGAGCTCCACGGTGGGCGCCATGAGCGCCTCCCCCTCCTCCAGCATCGTCTGGAAGGCCTCCGCGATGGGGTCCACCGCCTCCCCAGTGAAGAGTGAGGTGTCGTTGGCGTACATCACGTCCATCGCCTCCTTGCAGCCGATGAAGGCCCCCATGTTGTCGCGGACCAGCGCCTTCATCGCCTCCTCCGCGACCTCCGCCTCGCGGCCGACGGTTTGCAGGAGCGTCTTTTCAATGTCGACGTGCCTCGCGTGGGCGTGGGCGTGGCGGATGTACGCCTTTGGGTCAAACGTGCGGCTCGTCGGGTCGAGCTGCAGCGCCGCCTCCGTGTCGGCGGCGCCGTCGGCCATAACTCTCCTTTGCTCCTCCTCCTCTTCCTCCTCTACCGCCCAAAACGCAACGAGAGAGAGAGTGAGAGACTGAGGGAGGGAGAGAGGCAAGCTCATCGCTCTCTTCCGCCGCCACACCACCCACATCCTGCAGCAGAGGGAGGCGCACGCGTGCGACGAGCCACCGCGCGGCACATCTCCCCCTCCCCCCCCCCCCCGCCCTGGCAGAAGGCTGAGAGACGCACTTCGATGGGCACACATACACGCACTGGCAGCAACAAGAACAAAGGAGGAAAACAAAATTGAGGGAAAAAATGCAAAAAAACAAACAAACAAACGAGCAGAAACAAAAAGAAAAAGAAACAAATATGAACAAAAAAAAACGTGCCAAACGGCTACCGCGCAGCTGCGAGGATGTCGCCTTTCCCTCATCACCTCTTCTTCCCACGCATGAAGAAGTTCCCACTGCCATCTTCTTGCCGCTGCTGCCGCTGCCTCCGTTTCAATTTTCTTTTTTACTCCTTTTTTTTTTCATTTCCCCTTTCACCGACTGCAGGAAAAAGCTTTTAAGAAAAGAGGCAAGGGATAAGGAGCGAAGGGAAGGCAATCAGCAGGCAAACACGTAAGCAGCATATGGTGGAACAGCCGCTCGCCAGCCTCCCTTCCCCCCTTCGTTTGTCTTTTTCCTTTTTTCTTTTTGTTCGTGCCCCGACCACCACTCTGCTCTCTCTGCCCTCCTGTTCGCTAGTCCCCGTTGGTCCCGCACGCCCCTCTCCGGCCTTCCACGTCAAGCTCCCGCCGCAAGAGCCCCGCCCCCGCCACCAACAACCGTACGTCTGTGTTTTGTTTTGTTCTCTTCGGATTTGATCTTTTTTTTTGTTTCCTTCTTTCCTTCCTACATCAATAATGGCCGCTACCACCGGCCGCAGCGCGTCCCCCTCCGCACCGGGCTCCTTTGCACTATGTTTATTCCTTCCGCCCGCACGGTTATCATGGTGAACCCGAGGCGTACTCCGAGTACTTGGGGTCCTGTATGGTCGCGGCGAAGGCGGTGCCTCGCATGCTCGCCTCCACTTCCTCCGCAAAGCGCCGCTCCGCCTCTGCCATGCGGTGCAGCATGTTGTGCATGCGGCGCTTAAGATTGCAGAGGAACCGCTGCCTGTAGAACTTGCGCAGCCGGATGCTCACGTCCCCCGTGTAGGCGACGAAGGCGGCGGACGCCTGCTCCCCGACGAGTTCCTTGCAGTAGCGCCAGAGGCACAGCACGTGGTCAATCGCGTCCATCGCGGCGTCAAGGTACGAAACCTCAAAGAGAAGCCGCTCATACACCTCACTCTTCCGCTTGGCCTGATACCGGTCCATCGCGGTGGCGCCCACGCCGATGAAGCGGCCGGCCTCCAGCGTCACCTGCGCAAGGGCCTTATTGGCCGAGGAGGCGGCGAGGACGTCGGCGTACCGCTCGAGCGCCTCCGCCACATCCTTCGCGGCGGTGACGGTCTCCACCGACTGCTCCATGACGGTGAGGTACGGACGCGCCGCCCCGAGCAGGGCCTCGCGGTAGTCAGCGAGGAAACGCATCTCGCAGCTCCAGTAATTGACATCCTCCACCGCACTGGGGACCTCCGCGGAAGCTGCTGCATCACCAGCGGCCTGCTGGCCCCGCCGCCGTCGCTGTTGCTGTTGTGGTGCCGGTGCCGGTGCCGGGGAGCTTTCGCTGCCACCGCCGCCAATCCACGAGTGCAGCATCCCCACGAGCTTCCGCACAACCTTCGTGGAGCCGCCGGTGAAGGCGGCGACGGAGTCGGAGCCCAGCAGTCCGCCCTTGCGTGAGCTGTGGGCGTCGATGGAGGCGTTGCAGCGGCGGAACTCCGCGAGCACGGCCCGCATGATGCCGACCCAGTCCTCAAAACTCTCGCGTGGCAGTTGAAAGAAATGAGGGGTGTACACAGAGAAGTACATCAGCTCGGGAGTCATGGCAACCTCGCGAAGAAACCGCACCAGCGTGCGCTGCTGCGTGAGCAGAATGTTCCCATTCGTCAAAAAGGTGCCGAAGTTCTCAAGTTTTGACTTGGGCGGCAGCGGCGGGACAATCATAGTGGGAAACTGGTAGGCAAGTAAGGCGCGAAACTCCACCAGCTCGCTGTAGCGACGATCCACCTGCGCCGAGGAGGAGGCGGCCCACTGGCTGCGTTGTATTCCCTGCTCCAGCTGAGCCTCATGCGGCCCCTTCGGCACATCCGGCACCGCGTACCTACTTGAGTCAGTGGATTTGATGGTCGTCAGGATGGGGAAGAAGGTGATGGGGCGCACCAGGCCGGTGCCCAGCACAGCCGCCTCCACGACAAAGCGCGCCAGCGGGGCCGTGTCCGCCGGCATCGCGGCGGTGCGGGGGGTTTGGCTAGGCGTGCACTGCTCCTGCTGCCGCTCCTGAAACGGATTTTCGCTGCCGGCCGAGGCGGCCCCCAGCGGGGGGTCCGCCGAAGGCAGCAGCATGACGCCCTCGAGTGTAGTCGCAGGGGGACACTGAAGAGTAATGGGTGGCCCAAAGGGTGAGAGCAAACAAGAAGGAGCGGAAAAGCGAAGGCTGAAGCACACAGACACAGACATATAAAGATGTATATATATATATACATGTTGTGAGCAAGCGAAAATAATAATAGAGCAGGCGGGAGGGAAAAAGAAGACAACATATAAGCGACTCTCCAAGAGAAGGCGTGTGTGTGTCTCCACCTTCGTACTACTGCTGTACATTTTGTCGTTGGCCTCTCTCTCTCTCTTTTTTTCTCTCTTTTTTTCGTGTCTCCCCACAGAACCCCTCGCGGTACTCTCGCGCTGGCAATCCCGCAGCCGCCGTCAGTGCGTCATCAGTTTCAGCTGCGCCACCCCGACGTTTGCCGGGTTGCCCAGCGCCAGCGCCTTCTGCAGGTTGTTCAGCACCACCTGATTCCGGTCTATGGCAGCCAGCAGCTCCTTGTGCTTCGCGGCATTGTCCAAGACGTTTTGCCGCATCGCGTTGGACGCCGCCTTGCGGTTCTCGTAGTCTAAGAGGAGTTTTTCGGACCCCACCATCGGCATCTTCTCCCGCATTTTGATGTTGTTGGTGGCGAAGTGGTCGCGGCGCCGCTTCGTCTGCGCCAGCTTGTCGCGAAGCTCGTTGAGCTCCTCCTCCGTCGCCGTCACCTGCCGCCGCAGCTGGATGTTCTCAACCTTCATGAACTCCAGCTTCTCCTTCACGTGGGTGAGCACGTGGATGGTGGTGGTGACCTTGCGCCGCAGCTTCAGCAGGTCCTCGTTGCGCTCCTCGATCTTCTCGTTCAGGTTCGTGTTCTCAATCTTCAGCTGCTCAAAGTCGATGAGGTTCATGCCGTCCTGCTGCAGGTCCCGCCGCGCGGCGGTGCGCTGCAGCTTTCCCAGCTCGTGGCAGAGCAACAGATGACGGATGCGGGCGTTGCGGATCTCGCGCCGCTGCTCCGTCTCCCGCTCGAGGAACGCCGCAATTTCCACCGCCGTGAGCCGCCGGTTGGTGCGCACAAAGACGGAGTCCTCGGCGAGGTGTTTGATGTACTCGCGGAACTCCCCCTCCTGCGCCAGCGCCTCGTCGATGGTGCTCTGGTGCCGCTCCTTTATCTCCGAGAGCAGCGCCCCCGCCGCCTCCCGCCGGCTCTGCGCCGCCTGCTGCTCCTCCCGCATCTGCCGCACCGCCAGCCAGTACTGCTGCTCCGCCTCCGGCGAGATCGGCTGCGGCCGCTCCTCGCCCTTCCGCTGCCGCTGCGCCGCGAAGTGGCGCGCCAACTGCCGCTGGCACCCGAGGCTCCGCTCCACCACGGCCTTGCGCCGCTCCACCAGGCGGACGTACTCCGCTACGAGGTCCTGCGGCTCCTCCGCCGCCGACGCCGCCTTCGCTGCGTCGGGCTCCTCCTCCTCCTCCACCGCGGCCACCGCGGCGGCGGCAGCGGCGGCGGCGAGGGAGACCGTCTTGCCGCGCCGCGCCTCCGCCTCCGCCTCGCGTCGGGCGGCATACTCCTTCCAGCGCCGCTGAATCACCGCCGCCGCCTTCGTCTGCAGCGCCTCCTCCTTGAGCTGCTGGTCGTCAAACTCGTACATGTTTGAGTGACTGCGCCCCACGCCAGCCGCTCCGAGCACCCCGACACCTTCCCGTGACACCCACAGACACACACACGCACACAAGAGGCAGAATGAGCGCAGATAAGGAGAGAAGGAGGCGGCGGCAATATGGTGGTAGTAGTAGCACTCGCCGCCGTAGCGGCAGCGGCAACAGCCACAGGCAACACACCGCCACCACCACCACCACCGGGAAGTCGAGAGGGAGGGATCGAAGAACGAAACGGAGAAAGAGAAGAAATGACGGAGGCGCACTGAGCAAGTTGGCAGCTGACAGATAACCCGCCAGCTTGAACTTTTATGCCACCCACGCGCGCCCGCAGTCCCTCCCGCAAGCGGCGGAGCTCCAGCTTCCTGCGCCCCAGCCGGAGCTCCGCCGCTTGCTCTGCCGCGATGCGGGTGCTCGCCTCACCCTTCAGCGCCTGCAGCTCCTGCCGCATCTGCGACTTCTCAGACCGTAGCAGCCTGAGGCGGTCAAGCTGCATAAAAGCTGCCCCTCCCTCAGCGTGAGGGCGTCGAGCGCGGAGTTAAACTCCGCGACACCACCGTCGAACGTCGACGCATGCTCGGATAGGCAGCTGCTCTTCGACTGGAGAACTCTCTGCAGTTCCTCGCTGACGGTGCAGTATCGCTCTCGCAGCGCTTTCGTCTCCTCCAACAGTGCACGCAACTGGCGGTCCGCAGTGAAATCGCGCCGCGGCAAGAACCGGACGGCGCGTATAAACTTCGGCACCGCCACCTCCCACGGATGAAAGTGCTTGCGATGGGCGTGTGTGTGTTTATGTGTTGATGCCACGTCACGGCATGCATGCAACTGCGCACGCAAGGGGGAGGAAGCAGCAGTAGCCAAGGGCGGGGATCCGCGGCACACACACACACAGAGACACAGAGCGGGCAGGGTACATATTTGCACGCACGCACGCACGTGTGGTGGCGCACGCGGGAAGGGGAGGAGGGGGAGGAATGGAGGGCAACAAGGCCGCGGCGTCACACTATCACGCACTGGGCGTGTCACCAGGCGGCTCTTTGGGCGGCGCCGCATCGGTGTTCCACGTGGCGGCGGCCTGCTGCTGCCGCCGAAGCGTGCGATTGGCGTTGGCCTCGTCCGCCACGCGCTTCTCGAGCCTCTCCAGCCGCTCCAGGGAGAAGGACTTGATGGGCAGCAGCTTCGGCGGGCAGAGCAGCCCCGTGGGCTCCTCCGCCTCGTGGAACACGAACCCGCTGGTGGGGAGAATCTCCACCGGTGCCTCCCCGCTCGTCATCGTCGCCGATTTGCGCGTGTTCGCCCCCTACGGCTGCCGTTTCTTCGCTGTGCGTCTTCCTGCCGGGCAGGCGGGGAAGGAGCAGAGGGAATAAAACAAAAAAAAGACAACAACAAATAGACACGGAGAAAAACGCCTGCCAGAGCCTTTCACTGTGACAGCTGGCCGGGGCAGCCGAGAGAGAGGGAGACACACACACACACACACACACACACACACACAGACCCCGGCTTAGATTCGGCTGTGCATTGCAGGCATGCAGGCTGTCGCAGTCACGCCCCTCCCCCGCACACTTCAGGAGGGGCGCGGGCAGGCAGCCTCGTCCTCGTCCGCGCCACCGCCTTAACTGTGAGTGTCTCTCCCTCTCTCTCTGTGTATGCACGCCCACACTTGCTGCTGCCGCTGCTGCCGACGCCGCCACCGCCCAAGAATCCCATTCCGCCTCCTTAGCGTACTTCTTTTTTCTTCTTCTTCTTTTCCTTTTCGTTATGCCGCTCTGCGGGGACAGAACGCCTTTGACAGAAACATGAAATCACCAAGTCCAAAAAAAAATTAATAATTTTTTTTTTTCATTCTTCCTTCCTTACTTCTCCTCTTCTTTGTTTGCTTCTTTTCCTTTGCATGCGCCTCTTTCTTTCTTCCTTCTTCCTTCCTTTTATTCCTGCATTTTTATTTTGGAGTTTAACTTGCCGTTCCTTCGTTGTGCCTCGTGCCGGTAGCGGCGGGCTCAGAAGAGCGACATCTCGTCCTCGACCTCCGCGGCCTCCTCCTCGACCTGCACGGCGGGCCGCGGGCCGTTGCTCTCGAGCGCCTCACCCGCCAGCACGTGGCCGAGCTGCGCCTCAAAGTTCGACTGCGAGATGGTGAAGGTCTGCAGGAACTGCTGCCGCCACGCGATGGTGCCGTCGGCCCGCACGATGAAGGCCATCGGGCAGGACATGACGGTGAGGTTCGAGACCTCCGCGTACGCCTTGCCGGTCGCCTTCTTGTCGTCGAAGAGGATGTGCGGCGGGGCGAGGCGCAGCGGCTTCTTCGTGTTCTCGTCGACGATCGTCTTGCCGAGGTACTTCTCCGTCTTCTCCTTCGCCGCGTCGTTGCTGATCGCGACGAAGACGACCTTGTCGCCGTACTTCTCCGAGAGCGCCGTCAGCTCCTCGTTGACGGTGTCGGCGCCGCGGTAGAAGGTGTTGAAGAAGTACAGCACGTACACCTTGCCGCGCTCGAGGGCCACCTTCTCGCCGCGGAGGGGCTCGAGGGCGGCGAGCGACGGCGCGGGCTGGCCGAGGGCCCTGTCGTCGCAGTACGTCGTCACGTCGATGGCGTCCGTCATGTGTGCGTGTGTGGGGAGTGCGAAGTCGCTGGCTGCGTGCCTCTGCGGGGCGAGAGAAGCGGGGGGAGTCGAAGCGGGAAGCGGGAAGCGGGAGGCCGGCGGTGTGAAGCACCCAAGCAGATTTAGAGGGCGTGCACGTGTATGTACAACAACAAAAAAGACTGTAGAAGAGCCCCCCCCCCGTTCAGTGACCCGAGGGGGAAGAGAGAGAAGCAAGCCGAAAAAGCAAGAGCAAAAAGAATAACCCAACGACAAGAAAACAAACAAATAAAAACAATAAAATAAAAAACAATAATAATAATAGTAGTAGTAGTAATAACATAAAAAGGAGGGATGGGTGTAGGTGACTCGGAGCTCGTGCGTCTATTCTTCTGTGCCCCACGTCGCCAGGCACGGCTCCCCCCTCTTCTCTAACGTTTAAGTATTCTGTGGTGACATGTGTGTGCGTGCGTCTATGCACAGTGTGCGTGTGTGAGTGTGTGCGCGCCGGCCGCTCCGCATCCAACCGCCACGAACGGGAGGGGCGCGTCTGGTTCCCCCGCGCGGCCAGTGAAGAAGCAACACGGACAACAGAGCGGGGGGGGGAGGGAGGGGGAGGAACAAATTGAGGAAGAGCACAACGTCAGTGACGCTCGCTTGCGACTGCGTTGCGGGCATGCGGTCACTCGCTGCAAGTGCCACAGTCTGCCGCTCTCCCCGCCGCGGCGGCGGCCTCGAGGCGCCGCACGAGGGCCCTTGTCCGGGCAAACTGGTGGTCAAAGACGGCGCAGCACGGCACAGACCGCACCAGGCCGCAGCAAAACTCCGCCTTCCCGCGCGCTTTGCCCCCTCGCACGGCGGGAAGAGCCTCGCAGCGCCGCTGCGTGTCATGCAGCCGCCCACGGGTGGTTGCCGCGCCTCGCTCCTCCAGGCGCGCGAGGAGGGCGACGGGGACTTCGACGAGGCCGCCGGAGGCGTCGCGCAGCCATAGCAGCAGCGCGCCCGCGGCGCCTGTCATGTAGTCGCACAGCGCGACCGACTTCTTCACGAGGAGAGACATTTCCATCAACGACAGGGCCGCGGTCAGGACGCCGGCGACGAGCTGCTCCTCCGCAGAGTCCCCGTCCTCTCCGTCATCCGCCCCGGCGGTAGTAGTCGTGCCGGGGCGCACGGCGCCGGCCCATTCCCCCTGGAGCAGCGCCATCGCCCGCTTCTGCCCCCGCAGCGCCTCATGCAGCGCCGCCGCCGCCACCGGTTGCCCCAGCAGCACCGCGGCGCAGCATCGGTGGCGCAGCAGACGCAGCTGCAAGACGCTGTGCGAGAGACGCAGCACCACCGCCGCCGCCGCCGCCGCCATGTCGCCTTTTCGCTCCTCCAACTCTTCACCGGCCGCCCGGGCCGTGGCGGCACACTCCTGCAGCAGCTGCCTGGCGCGGTGCGACCCCTCGCCTCCCACCAAGAGCGATGCGGCCGCGTCAAACAGCCCATCGCAGAGCAGCTCCTGCAGTCCAGCCTTCAGCAGAGCCGCCATGGCCTTCGCACACCCCGAAAGACACGGCTGCTGCCCTTGTCGTTGGAGTTGTGTCATCTTATCCCTCGCGATGCGTGGGATCGCATCCACGCAAAGGTCGCGGCGAAGCTCCTTGCGTAACGCGGCGAGGCGCCGCCGCCACTCGCGCACAAGTTCCCCCGCAGACGTCGCCGCTTCAGAGTGGCGCTGTCGCATCCCACGCACAAGGACCTCCGCATAAGTTGGCTGCTGGTCGTTCTTCGCATCCGGCGCCGATGCGTTTTCAGCAGACGCCGAGGCGGTGGTGTCTTCTACCCTTCGCGCCGTGGCGACTTCCTCTTCCTGTAGGGCCTCCAGAAACGCCGCTGACAAATCGCGCCGCGGCAGCCCCTCCGGCGATGTCTCCTTGTTTTTCTGCTTCGGCGGCAGCGGCGGTGGCTCCTCCGACCTGCGCACGGCGCGGTCTGGCGGGGTGCACCCCGCCCCTTCCCTCGCCGTTGCCACCGCAATGTGCATCGGCGCCTCTTCTTCTGCCGCCGCCGCGGCGTCCTGCACGCGGCTGTAAAGCGGCAGCGCCTCCGTGACACGCCAGAGGTACGCGGCCCCGACGCGGATGCCGCTTTCTGCGGGGGCCACCCAATTCAGCCGCCACACAGCCGTGTGAGAGGCCTCGACAGCAGCTGCAGCAGCACCGCCGCCTGCCGCCTGCCGCGTAAACAGCATCAGATCCGCCCACGTGGCCTCCGTCGCAGAGGCGAAGGCAACAGCCACGGCGGCAGGGAGCCTGGTGCCGGGCGCTATTTTGTCTAGGCGAAGGATGTGGACCTCGCTCAGCGGGTGCGGGCGGGCGGTGACGAGGCAGCTGCAGAGGTACCTGCTGCCGACGGAGATCAGCTGGAACTGCGGCGGCAGCAGCGAAGGGCAGGGGCGCAGCAGAATGGCCTCCTCCTTCTTCCGCGGCTGCGGCCCCTCCCACGCCACCGCACGGGCAACGGCGGCAGAGGCCGCAGGCTCCGCGCCCTCCCGCGGGAGAGGGTCGGGCGGCAGGGTGCACTGCCACATCCCGGAGGCCGGGGATTTGATGAAGCCGTCCCCGCACGACTGCACGCCGTTCTTGAAAGTAAGCAGCCGCGGCATGCGTGACGAGCTGGTGAAAGCAATCGCGCAGATGCACAAGAAATAAGTTCCTCCTCCTCCTTCCCCTCTTCTTCAGGGTCGCAACGAGAGAGAGAGAGAGAGAGGAGGAGAGAGAACGCG